GATAATAGTGGCCTCTGGAGTCGGGCATCTTTGGGAAGAATTGCCCACGGCTGCTGAGGCTCCCCGGACATTGGCAGTGGATGCTTCGGTCCTCTGTCTTTGCTGGCCCTCTACAGCATTTATGGTTGAAATTAGATACTTAGCATTTAAATTACACATTGCCAAGTCAAATTCGTGGGTTAATGAATGTGCACCAGTCCTCCCCTGACTGATCACCAGCTCCATGAGGGCAGGGAGGATGCTAAGAATCGCCAACACACGTGGCGCTCTTGCTCTGAGCCAGGCCCAGGGCTGCATGTAAATGCTTCCCACGGCCTGCTCACTAACTCCCCACAGTGACCCTAAACAAGGCACTGCATCCTACAGGTGAGAAAATCGAGGCTCACCAAAGTAAGGTGACTTGTTCAAGGTCACTCAGCAAATAAATGGTGGTGCCAGGATATGAAATCAGTTTTCTTAGAGATTGCTAAACCTCTTTTAGCATATTGTAACTTTTTGATTGCAGTAGGAAAGTTTCCTTATCTATAAAACAGGAGTGGCGATACTTGCTGTCTACAGCAAGGGTGTTGGCTGGCTCAGATGTGATAACAGATAGGAGGGAACACCATAAGCATGTGAGGAATGCTGGGTGGCTCCCTCTCCCCTCTGAGCTCCGGGTAACATACAAGCCCATGCGTATGGGTGATAATCCGGAGGCCTCCTCTTCTCCACGGAAGGAAGCTATTCTTTCAAACTGGAAGAGAGTCCACGCTCTTTAGTTGTCACAGACAGTAACTTCATAGCAGGCGCACATGCATTTATTTGACAGATATTCGCTAGGGTTCTGAATAAATCAGCTGCTATGGAAGATACAAGAAAACTTTTAAAAAACCACACAACACATGACCCAGCCTCTTCTTGAGGGACTTAAGGTCTCATTCAAAGGCCAAAACAAACTTCAGAGCTGGTGTGTTGTGAACAGCATGGTGTTTGAACCAAGAAGACCAGGTCCTTAGAAGCAGCTCCTCCATTCTAGAAGGCACCTTGGGAGAATCATTTCAATGTGTCCATCTCGATTTCCTTATATAAAATGAAGAAGTGAGACCTCCACAAGGTCATCTGTTGTGTGATATTTTTCATAGAAAAGCACTCACCAGTTGTAAAGTGTTGGGACTATAGACACCAGAGTTGGTGAAATACTGAATGATGATGCCAGGCAATGTGGACAGTAGGTGCTGGGGGAGTCTGGAGGGAGGCTGGAGTGATAGACGAGTCTGAGAGCAGGGGGTGGGAGGGGGTGGCCTCCCAGGGGAGGGGCTGAGCTGCATGGGGCCCTGGGACAATCTGTCCATTCAGGAGAGGGGGGACAGCCTCTGTGAGACAGAGGTAACATCCTAGCCAAGGGCTGGAGGCCAGAGAGAACACACGCAGCAGAGGGCAGTCCAACCCGACAGAGGCCATAGCTCATGGAGGTGCTGGGGAGGACGTTGGGAAGAACCAAGGGAAAGACAAAGACAAAGGAAGGCAGCAGATGAGTCATTCCACAGGCTGTGGGAAGCAGCAGGGGTGTCCTGAGCCAGGGAAGCCACGTGATTAGGGGATCGTTTTAGGAAAAATAACCTTATGACAACATTAAAAATGAGAGAGAGAGAGAGAGAGAGGAGGAACCTAGAAGGATCTGGAGGGAAGACCAGTTTGCAGAACAATCCAACCGTCCATCTGGCAGCTCTGGGACCTGAACCAGGTGTGGGCTGTGAGAACAAGCTAGAGCACTTGGAGGTGGGAGAGCACAGTGGGCGGATGCCCTGGACCGGTGACTGATTGACAAAGGAGGTGGCCAGAGAAGGGAGCTGGAAACATTTCAGCCTAGAAAGTGGGCGAACAGAGGAATTCGGGAGGGGAGCCCAACTCAAAGGAAGAGCAACCGATATAATTTTCTCCGTATAGATTTTGAAGTGATAATAGAAAACGCAAGTAGACATATGTAGAAGATAGCAGCGTTCTGGGTACAGGATAATTTATATAAGGGTGACTAAGAGAAGATGCTAAGCTAACAGGGAAGAAAGTCAAGGCATATGAAAAACGCTCAGAGAGTGTTAAATTCCACACTTAAAGGACAGGCACTAAAGAGGAAACAGAAAACAAGATGGAAAAGTGTGGGTTAATACAAAATAATATTGAATAAACTAATTGAAAATAATAAAGGACAAAAAGAGTGGGGCTCCTGAAAGTGAACAATGCCTGGTATTTTCACCAGGCATTTAAAAGAGGAACACTAGTGACTTGCCACTCTGCGTGTAATCCAGAGCTCTCACATTAAGGAGTTCTAAAGATGGGAAGAGAGCAGGGGAAATGGTCTGGATCCCAACTCCCTGGAAACTCAGCTCTCACCCCCGAAGCCCTGCTAGGGTCCCCCAGGATGGGGACCCTAGAACTATGGGAATGGCCAACTCCTGGATTTTAGGGTGCCCGTGTGTATTGCTGTGCCAGACACTCTCTACTGCATGTCGAACGCCCATTCCCTCCTTTTTCCTTGCTAACTGAACTTGGCTAATCTGGGCAGCGAAGTGCTCAGCCCTAAGAGAGGTACTGGCTTTTGCAGCCTCTCTTGTGACCAGGGGTCTGGCCAAGGTGTGAGCAGAAGGCTGCCAGGAGCCATGGGAAGGCTTGTCCCCTCCCTCATGGAAGGTCTTCTGTTCCTGCAGCTAAACATAGTCCTCATTAATAGAGCATCTTTTACCTTTTTAGATCCACAGTAGTGACATTGAACACGACTCCTTTCAGCCAGAGGATCATAAAGAGACGCTGAGAGAAGGGACAGTTGCCAATGCTTTCCCCATCGATTCCAGCCTAGAAAAGAGAGAAGCAGAGTCCTCAGTTGGGAAGTGCATATTAGCAAAAATAAATAGAGGATTCCAACTCTAAACAATGGTCTCAAGAGAACTCACTAAAACCATGTACCAGCCTAATTTCAAAGGGCAGTTAACCCGTATCATTCATCCCTGTCTTCCTAGTGTCTATGCAGGGCAATGCCTGGCACAGGGTAAGGAGCTCAATAAATATGTGCTGAACAGAATTTGAGTTTCCAGCATGGTGATTATGTAGAGTCATAACTTTCTGAAACCACAGAACCCTAACATCTCAGGGAGAAAGAAAATTCAGTATGACATAGTCTAACACCAATGATACTGGACCACCAACTGCACCCCAAGTAACAATCTAGTCTGTGCTTGACTGTCTCCACTACCCAGTAATTTATCTCTCTCAAAGTAGCACATTCTGAGGACAGTTCTAACCATTAGAAATTATTTTCTTTGGCTCTACCTAACCAAAATATGTTCCCCGGTACTTTACCCTCTCTAACCCTCTGGCCCTTGCTCTGTGAGGGTGCCATGAGTGCAGATACCTCAGACTTTGACCTTATCTCCCTATATCTCACTAGTCAGCAGACTCAGGACTTTAATCAACAGACTTAGTTCTGACTAGTACTTGACCTTCAGTGTCAATAAACCATTCATTTTAAATTATCCTTTTACTGAATGAATGCATATTGACTATCGATTATGTGCAAGGCGCTGGTGAAAATTGCACGGGGGATTAAAAAATGCATTTAGTTAGGGAACTTATGACCTTCTGTGGGCTGCGTGGGGGATAGAAGGAACGTGTATGTAACACCAGGCAGCATTACCGAGTCCTCGCATGCTTCTGCTCATCACACTTCCCCTTCCCGGGAAACATGTTTTATGTTTTTGCTTTTTAATGTCTGAAAGGCGAGTCTATCTTTACTTCTGAGTGGGTTGCAGACATGAATTTTATAAGAATCCATTCCCAAACAGAAAGGTTGCAGAACTGATCGCTATGTAATTTATTTCCCAGGAGCGTTTTTTTATCCCTGACATGGTACTTAGAGGGAGAGGTCACCAACTCTGTCTGGTTTGCTGCTGGCTCCCCTAGACACCTTGGCCTCATCTGGTGGCCCAGGCCCCCGCTCCTCTGACAGGGAGGGAGAAGGAAGGCCCCCGGGGCTTCCTCCCCAAGCTGCAAGCAATCCAACTAACATACTGAAATAAGGACTTATTAAGATTTTTTTTTTTTTTTTTTAAAGCCAAGGAGGAAAAAAATGCATTCCCAAAGCTCAACACATTATTTCCCCCTGAGGTTTGTTCTGCTGTGGCCTCTGAATAGAGAGGGGCGAGGCCTCCTTTCATACTGAGAGCCCAATTGTGTGCTTCTTTCTGCCTTGCAAATCGCTCCCAGCAGAGGCTCGGGTTTATAATGGGAAACTGGCGCCTTTGCCGGTGTTGCTTGTAGGTAATTGCTATGAAATTACAGTTATTTTACCTCTCTCTCAGCTACACCAAGAGCCCCATCCTTAATCAGTTCTCATTTTTCCCCAGTGCTGGAAACGGACCCACCCGAGCAGCTAAGAGGCCGCGGGCTCCGGCATATGAAATCTGAAAGATGCGAGGGCACAGGTGCGCCTGCCCACAGGGCTCGAGTTACCGATAAAGCCACTCTCAGGCGGGCCACTATTAATTTAATAATAGCTTGAGCTGACTTGAGCTGATGATGTCAGTTCCCTAGGAACCTTCCCAGAAGGACTCGCTCAGCAGGTACCTGGGTCTTGGTCCTTTAAGACATCGTAACAAAGGAACTTTTCCCCAGGGCTGGTTATAATGTAAGGAACAAGTGAAGGATTAAAAATAACAAAACAAAAGCCATGTTCACATACTGGCCTCTGTTTTACCTCTGGTGGCATGGCAGTGAGGGGGTATAAGGGAACTGAAGGAGGAACCAGTAAACTACTGCAATTCTTGTTAGCTGGCCAAAAAAATTATATAATAATGATAGTAAAGATAACTGATTTCTATGTTGTCAGGCATTGTTCTAAGTGCTTTCCATATATTACTAATTCATTTATTCCTATGAGAAGTGGAATATTATCACCTTTTTACAAATGTGGAACCTGAGGCACAGAGAGGGGAAGCAACTGGCCTCGAGGTCCCAGGATCGAGCCCAGGGAATCTGGCTTCAGATCCAGAGCTCCTAACCACCATGCCCAGCGTCCAACCTGAAGACCCAGACAGGTAACATGTCCCCTCAAGGTCACAGAGCTGGGAGATGCTGTAAGTGCATGCATGGGTCCTAGCCTTTGGTCCACGTGCCTTCAGCCAGCCATGTACAGGTGTAGAGGCTGGTGGCTGTCACAGCTCCTCACACTTCCATCATTGTCTTAAATTATGATTCTAGGCTTGGAAAATGAGAATTGCCAAAGGACCAATAAAAATAATGTGTGCAGGTCCTTCATTTACCTCCACGGTCTTTACATCCCTCGCTGAGCTTCTTTTGCTTTCTTTTCTGTTATTGCGGTAAGAACACTTACCACGAGATCTATGCTCTGAACAACTTCTGACTGTACAATCCTCCTGTTGACTGTAGGTACAGTGTATACAGAGGCCACCCTGAAAGTTCCTGCCCGTTGAAGAGTAGCTCCCCATTTCCCCCTCCCCTGCCCTGGCTACCACCATTCCGCTCTTTGGCTCTATGACTTTGGCTTATTTTAGATACTTGGTGCAAATGGAATCAGGTAGTAGTCGTCCTTCTGTGACCGACTGATCTCGTGGCTAATGTCTTTGAGGTGCATCCATGTTTCACATATCCCAGGATTTCCTCTTTTGTAAGGCTGAGGGGCCACACCTTCTTTCTCCCTTCATCTGTCAACGGGCATTGAGGCTGTCAGCACACCTTAGCTGTTGCGGATAGTGCTGCATGGACATGCGAGTGCTGATATCTCTTTGAGATCCTGATTTCAATTCTTTTGGAGGAATACTCAGAAGTGGAATTAATGGACCTGATGATAGTTCTATTTTTAATTTTTTAAGACCCTCCACGCTGTTTCCAGGGCGGCCGCACCAGTCTGCATTCCCACCAGCAGTGTGCAGTGTTTCAGTTGCTCCGCTTCCTCACCGATAACTTGCCTTTTGTTTTTCTCGATAACAGCCTAGGCTTCCTGACCAGCATGAGGTGCTATTTCATTGTGGTTTTGATTTGCATGTCCCCTGATAATTATTGATGTTGAACATATTTTTCAGATCCCTGCTGGCCATTTTGTCTTTTTTGGAGAAATGCCTGTCAAGTCCTTAGCCGATTTTTAAGTGGGTTATTTGCTTCTATACTATTTAATTGTTCAGCTTTTTCTTTCCCTCCTTCACAATTCACCAGTCCCATGGCCTGAATAAACCATTTGTTAAATTCATGGGTTAACTGTGGTGAGCTTGTGGCAACCACTTGAAACATCAACCAAGGAGAACAAAGTGAGGCTCAGTGGGACCCCAGGCCCTGAAAGGTGTGAGAGAAAATCCAGACGGACTTCGGTCCAAACAAGTTCTGAGCACTAGGGGCTGGAGACAGGCCAAAGGGGTATACTAGTTTGAATAATGTTTCCCCCAAATTCATGTGCACCCAGAACCTGTGAGTGTGACCTCATTTGGAAATAAGGTATTTACAGATGAGATCAAGTTAAAATTAAGTCACATAGAATTAGGGTGGACCCTAAATATGACTGGTGTCCTTATAAAAAGACAGGGGCAGAGACTGGAGCGATGCATCTACAAACCGAGGAACCCCAAGGATTCCCAGAAAATTCCAGAAGCTAAAAGAGCCAAGAAAAGGATTCTTCCCCAGAGACTTTGGAGAAAGTATGGCCTTGCTGATACCTTGATTTCAAACTTCCAGATTTCAGACTTCGAGAGAATAAATTTCCATTGCTATAAGCCACACAGTTTACGGCAATTGGTTATGGCAGCCACAGGAAACTAATGCAAACGTGGGAAGTAGAATGGTGCACAGCTAATGGCAAACTTCTCAAGGTCACAGTTCTGCTTTGCCATGGGCCTGGTGGGCATGCTCACAGCTGCCAGCTACAACCCAGAGTCCTTCCTATTCCCTAGAGAGAGTAAATGTACTGGCCATAAGTTATGCTAAGGTATCTATGCTATATTATACTATATCATATATTGTAAGTCAAAATAAAACTTATAAAATATATAGTATATAATATCACATGTGATAACAATAGCATAATGTAATTATATAGCTTGTATGATTATACACTATACTTTCTAGGCTGGGTAAATCATTATATGCTGTCAGATATTGCCTTTCATGTAGTTATCTCCCTACACAAGAACTTGTCTACACCCCAAACATGGGCCATGTCTTATACACTTTGCCTTCAGCAGCAACAGGCACAGCTGCCTGAGGCTTAGTTGATGCTCAGTGCCTGTTAGAATGGATGCATGTGGGGGGAGGGGGGTGATATATACTCCCTCTTTATGGCTTGATAGTCTCAGAATTCTGACGTTGGCACTCTGAAGTGTGCCCTGAGAAAAGAGCAGGAGACCATGGTTCTAGACCCGTCTCTGCCTCCAATTCACTGTGTGATCCTGAGTAGATCATTTGCTTCCCTCTCTTGGCCTCAATCATTTCACTTAGAACTTCCTGCAATTTTGTGAATTCAAGTGGTTAATGGAGATTTATTTAGACTGCAGTTCTCAAACATTTTGGTCTCAGAGTCCTTATATGCCTTTAAGGATTGTTGAGGATCCCAAAGATAGTATATGTGGGTTATAGCTATCACTATTTATTCTACTACACAAATGAAAGCTGAAAATATTTTAAACATTTATTTACTTATCCATTTAAATATTATAACCATAAACATATAATGTAAATAACACGTTTTAATCTAAAGGAACTATTTGTTAAAGAAATTTAGTAATGTAGTAAGTAAACTGGTTGAAGTACACATATGAATAAATTCTAGCTTTACAGAGACACAGCTGGAAAAG